TAAATGGTCGGTATAATCTGATGAGATGGATAAGGGTGAACTTGAGCCTTGCTTTTTCTGCAAAGAACCTCATCATCAGCAGTGTCCTCTAAAACAACGGGTGAACCTATGGCAGGGTAGCCCGATATCTTCGACAGAAGTCAAGCACGACTCTATTGAGAGGACCCAACGTGAAGGAGTACGTGTATACATGTAAAAATCCCTCTGTATGAGCCGTAATGTTCTCTTTCGGAGAGGGTACCTACAATACCACCTTTTCTCTCCATCTGCGGTCTCTCCTAATTGCCTCGAGGTGTTCCTCTCCTATTGATGAAGTAAACCTTAATGCATGACCCCAATGGCCCTCGACATTGGTAGGCCTCTCTAACGAAAGGTCCCTCCTAGAGACAAAGCGTCTTGAGATTGGCTCGCCAGACACCGGTTGTGTACCACCGATTGAGCGGGAAGAAGAGGCAGAACCCTCTTCTTCTTGGTGAACGGATTTAGGCGTAGCGACCATGGCTATGATAAAACAAGAGAAGGAAAATGAAAACTCATGGGAAAACTTTGAATTAAAATGGTCGAAAGGCTGACGCAAGGAAGAAGAACTCTATAAAAAGGGATAGCGGCTCAAAATAGTGGAATTTTCAAAAAGGGAGGAAACAAGCTTATATATAGAGTGGGCGGCGACTGTCCTCCTACTCTAAAGGCCAATTAATTCTGGCTAAGCCATTATCACTTTAGAAAAAGTATACTGACGGGACCATCGCGGGCACTTCATGGCCATGCCATATAAGTGAAGCTGTCGAACAATGTTCGAGGGGACAAAGGTTCCCGTATCGATCCAGCATCGAGATGGTGCCCAATCTCGATGATCTCTGCTACCACAACTACAGGCTCTAAGGATCCATCAATATCAATCTAAGCCTCGAGGTGATGTCCGACCTCGAGGAGCTCTGTCAAATGGAATATAAGCTCTAAGGAGCTATCGACACCAATTTAGCCTCGAGATGGTGCCCGATCTTTAGTATCTTTGGTACTTCAGAACGGGCCCTAAAAGGGGGTCAACCTAGCCCCGAGATGGTGCCCGATCTCGAAGATCTCTGTTACTATAACTATGAGCTCTAAGGAGCTATCCATATAAACCTAAGCCTCGAGATGGTACCCGATCTCGAGGGTCTCTACTATTACAAGTACGGGTCATTTACCCAATTCTCTTTCCCTCGGGCTACCTGAGCCCAAGCCAGTTGTCACTCGAGAGTTATTGATAAAACCTTAGGGCTATCTTTGCCTTCAGGTCAATCTAAACACTCTCTCGGTTACTTTAGCCTAGGGATCATCCGAGTCCAAGCGTATCCTCTATCTATAACGCCTCAGGACTATCTTCACTCTAAGTTCAAATCAAGTTTTTAAGGCCGCTCGAGCTCAAGAAAACTCTCACTAAGGGATTGTCTGTGAAAGTCTAAGGGCTATTTTTATTTTTAGGTGGTTAAGCAACTCCGTCCCTTGACGACTATCAACGGGGTTTAAAAGGGCTAAGTTTTGTTCTAAAAATCGAGGCCCCATTCTCACTCAATTCGAAGTCACCAGTTCCGGCGGCCTAAGTTTGTATCAAGTCAAACCAGACTTAGTCCGAGGAACGGCAAAGGGTATCGGGGAAAATCGTATTAACCAATCAAGAACCGAGGAAATTCCCACGCCCAGTCTCGGTATTTGGCCCGATCGGTAAAGTCACATGCTCATATTCTTCACAAATGCAAATAAAAGGAAATCCAGCACAAATCAAAAACAAATTGAAGAAATAATTTTTTATTAATAAACGATGATTACAAAAGCCCACTAAGGATCCTTACACATGATTACAAAAGCTCACGAAAGATCCTTACACAGAAACAAAGAAGCAAAAAATAATAGCTAAAAGTCTAATCTATTATTGGAGGTGCATCCTTGGGAGCAATTTCTGCCAGAACCATTCCCTCGGGGACCCCATCTCGACCTTCCAAACGACGTCTTCGAGAATCTACTCCGAAGTGGAAAAAGATGAAGAAGCAGAAAAGGATGAAGAAGCAGAAAAAGATGAAGAAGTGGCTGGGTGAAGCCACTTCTTGAGACATTGCACCGGTGTGGGATGAAAAATTTAGTAGATGGCACCACCTCACTCTGTGGAAAGCAAAAGGAGTGAAGCGCCACACTAGGTTGAAGTTAAGAGAGATGAGCAGAAGTTCATGGTCCACATATCCTCTAATACGGGAATAGTTTGAAGCCCCTCTCTCATTATTTCGAGCCAATAATAACAAACCAATGCAATCCCACTCAGTAAGGGAAAGCTTTGAGAAAGAGCCATGACATAACTAGCAAGAACATTGTCGTGTGACCTTACAGTCATGGGCTTTAAACATGGGAAACAGAGTTGGATGAGGATGAAGAGAAAAAAGGAGTTAAAAGTTGTTAAAGACTGAATGAAGTTTTTGGTTCAAGAAAGCTTCCAAATATAGAAAGGTGGCAGTATAACCGAGGGCGTGATCAATGCCTTTGGGAAACATATCGATAGGCGCAATCAGTGCTTTTTGGGAGATGGATCAGCGGCGATATTATCGCTTTGAGAAAATAAATCGGTGCTACATTGAATGCTTTTGGAAAGATGTACCGATGCGACGTCTTAGTTATCATAAAGGCTTACATCATAAGCATGATGTCATCACGAGAGGCTCGAGGAGATCGGCGTCAAAATTATTTTTTATCATTTTAATCTAAGAAATACATGGACGCTCTGTATACGGTAAAAATCAGAGGGTCCGATTTTGTGAATCGTTGAGTCATCTCGTAAAGACCGCCCCGGAAGGCTCGAAGTTCAGCTCGGGGTTCGACCCCGAGGGTTCTCAATGATCGACCTCGAGGCAGTGTAAATCATCGACTATGATGGACTAACGGGAAGTTACCAAAGCACGCGACTAAAGCTGACCAAGTCTATTAGGCTAGTTCAAGCCCGTAACGTGGCATTAAATAGTTGTACCAGCCTCTAATCCTTGTAATAAATGCGTCTGTACTATGTTGGGATTCCCCCTCATATATAAATGAGACCCTTGTCATTTTGTAACATATATGATATAACTTACAACATTGAATACAAGAACATTCTCTCTAATTCTATCATTTACATTTATTGCTTACATTTATTGTGTTCTATTGATTGTTCTTTACTTATTGCTCATTATTAGTCATAAAGAGCCTTGATCAAAGCTCTTAATACTGTTAGCTCTTCACTGTCCATCCACAACTTAGAACCTAGATCGACCTCGAGGCTCCGTATAACCCGGCTCGAGGCCTCGATTCTCAGCCGCTCAGTTTGCTTAAACATACTGCTTTTGAGTTCTTATCTTATTTTCTAGTCTCACACTTAGAATCCACTGCTTAACAACTACTATAAAAATAAATCACGTATTTTTAGAACCACAAAATCAAATCTAATTATAATTATCATTTTCAAGGTAAACACATCCTTCATTAATAGCATATGTGATTTATAGTTATGCTAACAACTCTCAAATCTTCCTAGTGCAAATTAGGGAAGAAAATTTTGTTCGTTTTTTTTTGTTTTGATTGCAGGCACCCACATGGAGAACGAGGGTCAATATTTCAGAAATTGGTCTCACGTCAAAGTCAAAGAAGCACCAGGAGCCTGCCTGAAGAATAGGGTCAACTGTCAATTTCCAGTTTAATTCAAAAGTACCAGAAGGTCACCTGAAGAACATGGACAACTTTCAGTTTTCAAGTTCAAGTTAAAAAAGTACCAAGAGCCCGCCTGAAAAATAGGGTCAACTTTCAGTTTTCAAGTTCAAGTTAGAGACAGCAGGATACCGCTTGAAGAATAGGGGTAACCTCCAAATTTTTTTGTTCAAATCAGAAGTAGCACGAGCCCGCCTGAAAAATAAGGTCTGCAAGCTCGAGCCTGCTACAAGTTCAAGTTTATTTCAAGTGCAAGTAGCACAATGCCCGCCTGAAGAACAGGGTCAACTTCCAGTTTTCTTCAAGTTCAAGTCAGTAGGATGCCCACCTGAAGAATAGGGTTGATATTCAGATTCATGTTGAAGATTCAACTAGAGATTCAAGGAAGATTCGAAACAAGAATTAGATAAATTCTTGTATTTTTATTTGATTTTGCTGTAATTTTTGCTTTTATTTTTTATGTAATGGCACGAACTGCTGACCGAAACCTCGAACGGTACCTCACTCGACTCTCTCCTCATCTTGTCATACTCCTTCACTCTTCCTCTTTCTGAACTACATGTGGCCTGATTCCTTTATAGCCAAGGATATGTAGGCAGCTCAGATACCAGGGCTCGGTCACAATTTTTTTTATCCATCTTTACTTCCATTTGAATAAGTGTCGGGTCAGAACTCAACTATATTGCTTACTTATTTCTTTGCTCAAAAGTACTTTGTGTTTTCAAGTAAAGAGGGACAATTGTAAGCAAGTAAATTTTGACCCGCATGATTTTTAAAAGTTTTTTTAGCATTTGTAGTATTTCTAATGTTTTTTGAGTTTATAGAATTTTATTTTCAATTTTAAAACATAAATTTTGAAAATACAAAAAAAAAAGTTTCATTATATATTTACTTAAGGTCGTTAGTATTTTGTAGTATATGTATTTTTATTTTTACTATGATTTTAACGTATTTTCTTTACTTTTATTTGAATATAATCTTTAAAAATATAAAAAAAATAGTTCCACATTGTAATTTAGATTAATGAGTGATTTTGCATTTGATAGTATATCTTGTATTATATTTTAAGGTAGAATCAAGGTTTTAAGCCATAAACTTTCAGACCTTAAAAGAAGCCCAATTTTAATGCCAATTTCGAACCAGCTCTATCCCCACCAAGCCCAATAACAGCTAAGCCAATCTCCTTTAGTCCCAATCCAACGGCCCATTACTCTTGGCCCACACAACCCCACCAAATTTTATAACACAACAAAAAACTCTAATGAGGGGACTCCCTCTTTTTTTTCTAGCAACAAGCAGCCGCACCTCCCCAAAAATGGAAAACTCTCCATCGTCTCTCTTCTCTCAAATGAGAAACAACAGCCACTCTCTCATCTCTCTTGATCGGGCCAATCAGCCGTTGCTCCAGCAACTCTCCTACAATCAGCCGCCCACCCCTCTCTAAAGTTCCCTATGATCCTCTTTTTCACTTGAGAGAACAACCAACTAGCCTCTTCTCCCTCACTCTTTCAGATTCTCCATCCCATCTTCACCCTCTTGCCTCCAGACCTACCCACCTGCCCCAAACCCGACAAAAAATTGGCGATCCCCTATGAATTTCTTATCTCCCTCACTTGAGCAAAAAACACGCACACATAGAGGAAGAAGGGAGGAACGGACATAGGGGAATTCTGAAAAAAGAAAAATAAAGACAGGGGGATTAGAAAATGGACGGGGAGCACAGCGGACAGCGAGGAAACGGTGGGAAAAACGGAAACAGAGAAACAGAGGATGACACTTTAAAAGAAATTAGGATAGAAAAATCAAGGGGAATCTGGGGTTTTTCGACGGAAATTAAGAGAATAGAAGTGAGTGTTGAGTAATTCTTCTGCAAATTTCCACCTTTCCTTTGAAGCTCGAAATACTCAAAAAAAAAAGATATTTCTGTTTCTTCACTTTTCAATTCTAAATTTTGTTCAAGGATGGACTTTGATTAGAATTTGTGTCTGAATTCGTGTTTGGTTCGAGTTTTTCAGTGCCGATTCGAGATTCCGTCTGGGTTCGTGTTTGAGAGTTCTGTAGATTTGAGTTCCAATCGTAACTATGTTCGATTCCAGTCCGGGTAACTATTAGACGTCTTCATCAATTGAAAATTCTAGTTTTAAGGTTCAACTCTTTCTCTCTTACTTTCATCTAATGGTGTTGATTTTTCATTTTAGGACATTTAGATACTAGAAATGAATTTTGAAGTTGGTTTTCAGTCTTGATTATTCTGTACTGTTGAGTTTCCTCCATTCTTTTTGACTTAATGCATGAATCCATATCTTTGTTGCGTTTTTGCGCTTGAGAAAATGCATAGGCTTAATGTCAATTAATATTAAACTATTCAAGTAACGTGCTAAATTTATCTACGTTTATCACTGCCTGCGTACTTCATTGAATGAACGTGGGTCACGGGAGTAGGAAGAGGTTAAATCCCACTAGTAATTTATTTACTTTCATGTTATAGGGTTCGGGCTTAGTCAAATACCCAAAATTAAAAGTTAAAAATATGGGCATGAATTGAATTTCTTTTATTTAGTGTCCTTTTATTTACTTTACTTTATTGTATTATTCACTAGTAGCATGTTTAGGCCGACCACACATGGACAAGCAATAATAGGACGTTTGTGCATCTTATTTCAAAGTGATAGGTCGTTCCCTTAGTTTATTCTCAGGGGAATGCCCCTCAGATTTTGTATATATTTTATCCGGGGTATGGCCCGTAGTGAATGTAATTAGAGGCCATGACGGATATCGTGGACGAAGCATAATATAGGTTAATGTAGGATTTTTAACATTTTATTTTTCTTTTCTTCTCTTTTCTTTTTTTATTTAGGTGGGGATGACCTCGAACCTCCTTTATGTTTATTTTTTCTTTTTGTGTGTATTCTTAATTAGAATATTCTTAACCAACTAGATCCAGTACGCAACCATGACTTTCACGGGACTCGAGGAATGTCTAACACCTTCTTCCCGAGTCAAGTGAACCTCATTACCTAGAACTCTGGTGCAGTCAGTTGTAGAGTCAAACGTATTTTGAAAGAAAACTATTTTTAAATGGTGACCTGACACACCGAAACTCAATTTCAGGTGGCGACTCTAAAAAATCTTTTGAAACATAATCTTTTGTCACTTTTCATAATTGAAACCTTTTTGAACTTTAAAAATAACTTTATTATTTTGAAAGAGGGTTAGTTAAGGTAAAAAAAAAAAGGGGGATATGGCATGTACCATATGAGATCTTTAGCAACATTTTCATTAATATCATCCATAGCAATTTTTAATCTCTATACCCATCTAATTCTTGCTCCAATTATCTTAAAGATGCCTAACACACCATTTATAATTTGATTTAGGTACCAGAGTAGACACAACATCCAGCAAACCCTGCAATATTAAAGAAATTTTATTAATAAAAAATGTAAAGCTAAAAGTGAAAATCAATAATAAAAATTAGAAGTACCTTCTGCATATCTGACATAAATGTCACTCCTTCACCATCTCCCAGCTCTAATGAAGATCTCAATAGCTCCATAAGCCACTTTCATATTCTAGATGTTTCTCTATCCACCACTGCCCTAGCAAGTGGGTAAAAGTATTTCACTGAATCTTAAGCCATAGCAACCAGTAAAATTTCTCTGCACTTCCCTTTCAAAAAATGTGTTGGAAGCATATATACATTCTAAGAAAACTTCTTTTTCCTTCTGTTAAAGCATCTTTAGAGATATTTATAACCACAACAGAGCCTGGGTTACTGTCCCTCAATTATTAAGCATTGACCTCTAACCTACAGGTCAGCTCTCATGTCTTTCACTTTAAATTTAGGATTATTTTGGACTTTATTCTTGAAGTAGTGTGCAAATGCTTGTGGAGTAGTTCTTCTATTCTTATATGCTGGAGCACAATTATGCTTAGTTATTAGAGTCTTGATTTTAAAACCTTGAGCTCTATTATCCCTTGATATCGAGAACACAAAAGGACATCCAGCATCACATCTATATTTAACTCTACCAGTATCACTCTTTTCAACTCTATGTCCCTTATTATTAACAACAACATAGTACCAAACCACTATTTTAGCTTCAGCTAAATCTTTAAAACTCATACCCATCACCAACTCCTTATACTTTTCCAACTTATAATTGACTTTCCTAGTTCTTTTCTTTCTAAAAGGATCCAACTAATCAAAATCATAATCACTAGAGTTAATAATATATGCATAAGGTTCATCATCGTCAGAAGACTCGCAATTAGTACCAATATCTACATAGACATTATAGGGTTTATTATAGTAAATGATCTTAGGAACTGTGACATGTACCTCACCCTCATCTACAGCAGATAACTGAAGCACACATAAGTTATTTGATAGTAAAGATTGTACTGTCCTAATTCTGTAGTCACCTTCAACTATGAAGTGACTAGCAGTTGTTCCACCTTCCTAAACCCATAATTTTCAATGTATTCTATCTATATAAGACAACAAATTCAATAATTAAACCATCCACCAACCACAATACATACAATAACTTCAGACAAGGACAGATGTAAAGGGACTACATGCAACCAAAAATTAACTACAAAATGACATTAGAAGAATGGAAGGAAACAAAGAAGCTGAAAACACATGGAAATACATAAAAGCAACAAAACAACGACAGATTCCACCGGTAGTATAAGTATAGATAAATACATAGGCAAACTAGAATTAAATATTTGGAATCGATAAAAAGTAGGACCCCATATCAATAATTTAACCAGCCACAACCACAATAAAATTTCTAAATTCAAACAAGAAAAAATGAAAAAGGGACCACATGCAATCCAAAATTGACTACAAAAAAGACATCAGAAGTATTAAAGAAAACAAAGAATCTAAAAGGCATGTGAAAACACATGGAAAACAATACAATATGCAAATTTAAAAACCTAAAACCTATATTATTCACCAAAATAATAGTTTTATTTACCTTGAAAAATATGAGTAACAATTAAATATGATTTGTGGTTTTAAAGATGAGCGATTTATTTCAATACTAGTGAATATACAAGTAATACTAAACTAAAGTAAGAGGAATTGATGAACCATACCAGCGTTGTTAGAGCAATAAGGACCTCGATCTCGATTATCTCGGGGGCCTCGAGGTGATATAAGAGCAATAGAGTATGAACAATAAACTAAAGACAATAAAGCTGAAGAACAATTATTAAGCACGGTAAACAAGAAAAGCAAAGTGGAATATTCTATTGCAGTGAATGAGATTGTTTTTACAAATGATTGGGGTCCCCTTTATATAGGAGGGAAAAACCTTAATATGGTTCATTCCTAATTGTGGTAAATAATTCTATTGGTACAGCTGTATAATAACCTGGTACGGACTCGTACTATTTCGTACAAATCTTATCCTTTAATTTGTGCCTTGATCCACGTGTCCTTGAGAAATTCCCACTCTTTCTTGAGTGTCGTCGAAATTGTACTACTCTCAATGTAGGTCATACCAGGCCTTCGATTTGCTCCCTCGAGGTGTGTGTCCTTCAGCCGTGTCTGACCCCCACTTGAAGTCGCCCATACTCGGACTCATACTCCAATTTCAAACTTCGAAATCAGGCTCCTTGATTTTGACCGTATAAAGATAGTCTTCGCATTTCTTAGAATGAAATAATATGAAACGATTTGGACTACCGAAGTCCTTAGTGATGACGTCATAACCATGATGCAAGCGTTCAAAGTGACCGAAACGTCCCGTCGGTCCATTTCCCCAAAAACATTGAATGTATGCCGGTATTGGCCGGCCACTAGTGCCGCCAAACCTTCATTGCCCTTCTATAAATATGAGGCGATTACTCCAAGTAAAGAACTTTACTCTTTCTTCACCCCTTTGTCGTCTTCATCTATTTCTCCAATCACCCATTTCCTTTGCCACTTTAAGCGCCGGAAAATGCCAAGCTCTTGCTAGAGACACCACATCCCTGTGTAATCCGTATTATTTAGCTTACAACCATGGCCAAGACTTCCAAAACGGTCCTCAAAAAGGATAAAGCATCGTCCTCTTCTGCCTCCCGGCCGGCCAAACCAGTGGTGGCACCAATACTTGAGGAAATCACCCCCGGTAATTGCATTATTATGAAAGACTTTAGTATCGAGAATTCTCTCGATGTCCCAGGCCGATGCGAGTACGCATCTCGATATATTAGCTTGATAACGAAGAAGCTTATCAAGGACGTAAAGAGGGACTGTTTCTGGGGAGATGAGGTTGACGTTCAGATTCTGAGCCCCGGTGAAAGCATTACTACCCACATGCGGGGTTTTCGAGTTTTTACACTTACCCCTTCACATTGGGTCCCCTCGATCCGGTGGTGATCGACTTCTGCAAAACGTACAAAGTCAACCTCGGTCAGATTCACCCTTCCTTTGGTGTATCGTGATCATGTTGCGGTATTTTTCTGAAAAGGCCAAGGGTTTGGAATTCACCCTCAGCCACCTGGTTCGATTGTATCGGCTCCAGTTATTTCTAGGGCTCATCAAGCTGTAGCACCAAACAATGAAATCCTTCTTTGTTGTACCGACAAACCCAAAGATCGGGGTTGGATGAGCCGATTTGTTAGAGTAAGAACTTCGGACGTCATCCCCGAGGATAAAATATCATTCCCGGAGAGATGGAACTTTAACTGTAAGTGGAGTTTGTATTCCCTATACCTATTTATATTTTGCTTCCATATTTCATAACGTTGTTATGCTTTTTCTGACAGCCAATGCTTGGGCACCACCAGCGGTGCCCGACCTTGAGGATTAGGTCCAAAGGTTAGCTGCCACTTCTTCCTATGATGAGCGCAAGTGGTGTGGGTTATCGAAGGGCCAGTGGGAGGCCAAGAACCATGCTAAGTGTCTATCAATAGTTTCAAATGCTCTTCATACATTGGCAGCATTTTATTCACGCCTACTTGTGCAGGCCTCAGCGATGCATCCGAAATGAGGCTAACTCCGATCATGGAAAGGACCAAGCCATCAAATTCGAAGTCCGAGAAGGACAACAAAAGGAAAAGGTTTTCAAAGCCCGAAGACCCTCAAGACAAGAAAACCCCCGCTCGAAGGCTGTGGAAAAGATTTGCTCAAACGGACGCAGATTTGGCCCGTGATTCCCCAGATGATGAAGAAAATGATGATGAAGTGTCGGCGCTGGTGACTCAGACTAGGAAGCCGGACGAGGCCACCAAACCTTACAAACTGGAAATCTAATCCTGTGGTGAGGAGACCCCGAAGGAAGAAGCGGGCAGAGCTCCTGTGTCCGCGGA